GCAGAAGGGGGAGCGTGTTGCAGAGGCCTGTGCTGCTCACACCTCGCCTGCCCCTTCACTTTCAGTGTGAGAGCTGAGAGATGACAGTCCCTGAGCTTTGCCTTCCCTTCAAGCCACAGAGGCTCATTCCCCAGCCCTGTCTGACCCTTCCTCTCCAGCTCCTGCCCACGCCAAGCTGAGGCAGTTGTGAGTGCAGAGGACATATTCCAGTGAGCTCTGCCACCTCACTGCCAAACAGGAACAGGCTTTAGGAATTGGCTTCTTCATGTCACCTCCCCATCACACATTCTATTGCCACCTCCCAGTACTCCAAAACCCAGATGTGCCACACACACAGGACTAATAAGGGGTTTCCATCCTGCAAAGAAGAAAGGGAGTTGGTCTAATGAGACAACTGATGATGAAAGTGTTTCTCGGGAAAGGAGCATGATTAGAGATTATTAAGGCTCACAATTTCAGCAGTCTTGCAAGAGGACAGAGATTTTAACTGGAGGGTATGTATGCCTAAACCTCTTGAGAAAGTCACTGAAATAGGTCCTGACAATGTAAAGTGTTGGATTTAGGTCAATTCAAGACATCAGTGCATCATTCTGTGCCAGTGAAAAACTGGCTTCATCCAGTTTTCACTTCTGGGTTTTCTCTTATGAAGAAAACTTTCATATGCATTTTCCAACATGAACTGGGATGTCCAGTTCACAGTGATGCTCAGCTTTTATCTGCCTTTACAAGACATCAACAACAATAGACAGCTCAACAAGTGAAAAGTGCCAGACAGAAAATAATTAGAATGCAAACTAAGTGGGCTGAGAAGATCCTTCTTGCAGGAAGGTATTTATAGCAAGAGGTGAAAGAGAGACAACATAGCACTGACTGTCTCCACAATGTTACAAGGTGAAATAAAAATAAATAAAAATATTTCTTTTCTTACCCTCTTTGTTTATAGCCTAAATAGAATAAAGTAAATGTCGGTCTGTAGCTGCCTTGTTCCCTACACTGTGGGATCTTTCAAAAAGAGTTATCACAGATGCCTTTGCTGCTTTTGCGCCAATCCTGCCAGATTCTTCTTGGGACAAGACCCCTTCTTCTGTCAATGCCTTCCCTCAGTGCTACAACACCAACCCTTAATCCGATAATTACCTGGCCCAGTAAATTATTGCAATTAAGCCCAGTTCCCAGCTGCAGCCGAGCACAGCCTCCCGGCGGGGCTCCCAGCACAGCCCAGCAGAGCGGCCAAGCCCATTTTGCCAAGCAGTGTCTCATCCCTACTGAGATTTAGTCTAGAAGGAGAGAAGGAAATTGCTAAATCTTTCAGCACAAGGCCAAGATTTCTATAGATACCGAAAATCTATTGGCAGGCTCAGATCAAGGGCTTTTTAATTGAGTGAAGAACGTTAATTAGTAAATTTACTGACTTCTAAACACAGCAAGACCTAGGGCTTCAGATTACCATTGTGCAAGGACAAAGCAGCTTTCAAGGTCTAGAGAGCTTTTTCCCTTTTCTGCCTTACCCTCAAACACCAGAAACTATCTCAGTTAACTGTGGAAATACATGGATGGCGCAGTGGCAATCAGGCACTGCTTCTCTTTAGATGAGGGAAGCATTCAAAGGAGTCATCAGGGATGGTTATCTCTGAAAGGTGAAGAGGTCTGAAAAAAATACAAGGTGTTGCTAGAAAACAGAAAGATCAAAGTTAAAAGCATTTGGATGGATAAAGTGGTTGCAAAGATTATTACTTCTTAATATATAAATTACTCAAATCATTCCCATTTGTCTGCCTTCATGACCATATGAAAGAGGAGACCAAAGGCTTAGCTCCTGAGATGTTAAATCCTAAAAAATTCACCCATGTTTTAAGCTGTAATACATGAAGCACTTTTCCTGGAAAAACTGTCTTCAGACCAGCAGCAAAGGCTTTAAAACATGTTTGTTGTGGAATCAGAAAAAGAAGAGATCAAACCACAGCAGCTCAGCAGAGAAGGATTGCTGGAAAAGCAGAAACTAAAAATGTAATAACGGGAAGATGAAGACAGGAGGAAACAGCTCACCAAAGGGAATGGCCTTGCCAGGGAAAGGCAGCAGAGTTTATGGCCCTGCTCTTTATTAGCTGAGGAAGTCAACACACACTTCTGGGGAAAAAAAAATAGGAAAGGAAATAAAAAGGAGTTTAAGATTATTTTGATGGCTTGAGGCCAGCTTCATAGCAGACCTGAGTTGTGTCTGGGGATCTCTTCTCTATTTCCAACATTCCCTGTTGTTTTCCCATGAAATGATGGCTGGGAGGCTGGTGAGCACCATGTTTATGGTGTGCCACTCTACATCCTTTCCTGGGCACCTGCCATCCTTCCAGCCCAAAAGATCTATCCAGCAGCACTCAGCAAATGTCTAAACCATCCTCCACTTTCACAGTTCCTAATCCACTTTCCAGAGATGTGGGAATGATATTTTGGAGAGGTTTTAGCACCCAGGGAGAGCTACAAATTACCCACCATCAATAAGAAGCTTTTGGACAAGTGCAGCGACATCCTGCTTACCCAGTTTTCCCATATCTGATCAGGAGAAGCCAGAATATCTTGACGTGAAACTTGTGCAGGGATGTAGATAGGTGGGGGCTATTTTTCTAACTGTGTTAGGATCGAACAGGATGGCAGCCTGAGAATCTTTAATGGCCTCAGACAGGGAGAAAAACTTTGCATTTCACTTTGTAGAGCAGTGACAGAGCAGGGCACTTAGAAAGATACTGCACATGTTTGCATATTTATTTGCATGGCTACAACACATTATGCCCCTGGCCCCTGCAAGGTCAGCATTTACAGAGCACAGTGAACAAGGTGGCAGTCCCACAGTGATACCTGTCCTACATGTAGTGCTTGCAGCCATCCATTTTTGCCTTGGCAAAGTGAAGCCCAGGGTGAGTCAAGATACCTCCTAAGTTCGGGACAATTTTCAGTCTCTTATGGCAGGGTGGCACATCACTAAGACACACAGGCCTTTTTTTTATTTAAATCCTCCCTAATGGGGTTAATTGTGCTGCCCAGAAGGAAAGACCTGCTGCAGCACAAGGTTCTGCTGGCCCATTTAGCATAACCTGGAGTTTAAATAGAGAGGCAGCATTTCCTGTGTCAGCTCACCGCTTCAAATCTCACCTGAATCCTGCATCATGTATGAGACATCTGCACTGCACACTGGTGGAACAAATCTGTCAGCAGAACAAACGTGCAGGGACAAATCTATCCCTGTTCCAGCAGCAACAGTGTTAACCCAGGGGACCCTTTTTGGCCTGCCAGAGTGAAACCAGACTCAGAGCAAGTAGGTCCCTATATGTATCTTGGAAGACAAAAAAAAATGACTGAAATAACATCAGTGGAAGCAGGAGTGCCTGTTCAGTGTGAGATGCACTGGTTGTGTCAGTCACACTGTGTTTGGATTCAAATTACCACCAATCAGTTATGCCCTATACAAATCCATCCCTTAGTTAAAAAAAAAACCAACAAAAAACAGCAAAAACAAACCTTCTTAAAACCTATCTTGTGTTATGCCTTCAGGGCAAATTTGCTTTTATGAGCATGAATAATTCATGTATGTTCATTTATTATTAATTAATATTCCATGAACATGCATGGTTTATTCACCCAAACAAAGCATTGTGCCCCAGACTCTCTCCCTGCAGCCTGGCATTAGCTACATGCCACAGCCCAGCTGACCAAGGTGTTCAACCACTACCATTTATCACTTCTTTCTCCCTAGAATCCACCAAGAACTTTTTGACCCTTCTTGCTGCTCACTGACATTCTCCATTTCCAGGGCTGGAATAGGACAATTCAGCTCTATTCAACTTAAGTACTGGGAGAAGTTGAAAATGTGAGCTAGAGGGAGGCAAGAAGAGGAGTTTGATTTTTTTGGTGTGCTGTGCCTGACCGTACCCATTTCCATTTTGGAGAAGCAATGCCAGGCACACCAGATCATCACAGGGTCACTGGTCAGCTGGACTGATTGGGGGGAATTATTCCTCATTCATTGCTGCATCACCAGCAGCCACAACAGCATTTCCCACATGGAATTGTCTTCTGTCAGAGGTACTTCATTGCTGATATGGCAGAGATGCCTTAAGCCATAAGCCCATGCCAACCACATTTTCCTGCTGGGCAGGCATTTTGCTGAGAGCACACAGGGGTCCCCAGCACAGCCAAGAAAGTAATGAAAGTCTCTTCCATTTCAATATAGATCCTCATGTGCATTGACTCTGGCACCAGTCTGCACCATGAAGGGGCAGCTGGATTTTTCTCCTCAGCACACATCCTCTGAAGAGCCCACAGCTATTGGATTTTCTCCCATTGCTGGATCTGCACCCCAACACACGAGCAAAGCCTGCAGAGCCAGCACAAATCATGATCCATCACTCTCCAGAGGAACCCCAGCTGAGCCCCTTCAAGCCTGGTCAGAGCTGGCACTCAGCTCTCTGCAACCATCACCATCTACAGATCAGCAATCCACATTTTTATGGGACAGGCAGAGCAGGACTACTAATTGCCTCATTAAAATATGCACCTGCAGATGCCACCCACCACTGTCCTCATCATTGTCTCCACACCAGATCCAGGACTTCAGGTGTAAACAGACTCACTTGGGAAACAAATCACCACCTGGATCTTTGCCCTCCCAGACAGGGCCCACGAAATCCCCCACCAAGGGATGTTTAGCTCTTGAATCTTCACCTGGTAGGAGCAGCCCTGTCACAAAACATTCCTGGAAGCTCAGTTCATGTCCCAGGTCTCAAAACCACCACTACACCTGCATCCTCTGTATTGCAGCCAGAAGAGTGCAGGATGAAGAGCTGGATTTCCTTTATTTGGGCTAAACCATTGCAATCTCTTTATATGGTCCTATGTGAGTCCTGATTTTCAAGCACAGGAATGCCGAGAGGAAATAGTAAAAAACTCCCTGTGTGTTAGACACTGGAACAGCTTCAAATCAAGAGTTAGCTGAAGCAAACAGAAGAGGCTCGATTTCAGCATTTATTAAAAGCAGAAGTGCAGCACAAAAAGAGGGAGAGGAGAAAGCTTTGCTTGCAGGAGATGCTCACGTGGTACTCAGCACCATGACGTACCAAGCAAAATGATGGACATTTCCTTGGCATTTCTGAAGTGGCACATGGAAGAAGAGAGGAATTAAAAACAACAATCTAATCAGTTTTAAATAGTGCTGGGTCCAAATCACATGTCTAAAGCCAGATAAACCCATCTTTGAGAGCCCAGAGCAGGGAGTGGAGGGGGCACGAAGCACCCCATTTCCCTCGCTTTTCTGTAAAAATTCGAAAAAAAGAACTGGGTCCAAATTCCCCCAGTTCTGGAGTGTTTTAGATCTGGACATGAAGTGCTTGATTCCAGTGAATACCCCAGGCAGCCTCCTATTGCCTCAGATTGTTTTACCAATAGAGATAAGTTCAGAAACACTCTTGACAGTTACAGACAATTTAACACACAGGGGCTGCTCGGGGAAAACTTAAAACTGTCATAATTCATCCTCCCCTTCCCCTAGTCCAGAAATGAAAGATTAAACCTAGGAAGATTTATTAAACTGACATTTTAATAGAATTTTTAGACTTTCCATGTTAATAGTTTAAATATAATTGAATTCCATGAAAGGGAGGAATAGAGGATGGAGCCAGTGTCCCCCAACAATAAGAATGTTTTAAACACTGGGGCATATCACTAATGCATAATTTAGTCCTATTTGCATGGCCCTTAGAACTGGGAGTAACGAAAACACAAATCTAATTAACAGAGTGAAAGAAATGCCTGCACCAGCAAACTTCATCTCAAGCTCCACTACCACACACCCACCCTCTGCAAGTTACAAACATGAAACAGATGGCAAGAAGGAGGGAAAAAAAATAAAAGACATCACACATCAGCTCTTGGAGAGGAAGAGGGGGGAAAAAAGAGAGAGAAAGCAGAAGGAATAGGATGGATAACCATGCTACTTGACGATGCAGCAATTAACTTGCTGAGGGTGGAATAATTCTTGCAGTGCCTCTCTGGTTGAAGAACTCTCCAAGCTTAGCTCAGTAGATGTACTGAGTGCAGTGGAGAGTAAACCAGTTTCCATAAATCCCAGCAGGAGTCCGTTTCACTTTATAAGATTCATGTGAAAAATTGAAAATTCAGGTTTTTCCAAATGCATCTGTAATCAGCAGGCTGAGCCCCGCGGGTCCCCAGAGGTAACTGATCACAGCACAAAGTAGGGTTTCACAATCACACTGAGATTCTCCACTGCGTTTTCAAAGGTTAGACATTAATTCCTGATCAATACAAGGAACAGCAGGCTGCCCCCTACCCCCACTCCCAGAATTGTCTTACATTATTACCTGAGCCTTGGCTTTGTCCTGGAATTACTTAAAATCACAACTCAGAGCTGTAAGACACAGAGTCCCTCCAGATCCAGAGCAGAGGGGGGTGAGAAAGACCTTCCCCAGTACCTTCTTCCCCCATGCAGAGACAAATCCACCTAGGTCTGACAGTTGAAGGTAAACAAGATTTGTTGTGCTTAGCATGACACATTCAAAAATAAAAACCAGAATCTGAAGTTTCTCCAGGTCTAGTTGGACTCTGTAGAAACAGGTCATTTCAAATTAATCTTCACTATCGAGTCTCCCTCCCTTAACAATGTGCCACACTTATTTTTGCTGGCTTTCTCTGTGCCATCACCATTACAGATTTCTTTGACATCATGATATCTCCCTTTAGAGCTGAAAACAAGCTCAGTGTGTGCCAAACACCATGTTTTCCAACTGAGATAAAAATAATGACAGAAAAATAAAATCCAGGGTATTCAACAGCTTCCGATCATCAAAAACTTTCAGTTCTTCTCCAGACATGCATATTGGGCTGTCATTTGCTTTCCATTCACGTGATAGATGGTTTTTGGTGGTTTTGGTGATATAGTTTGACATGGACTAGGTCAGGGGCAGGATGCAAGCTGGTCCATCAATCAGATTTAGAACCAGGTTTTGATTACTGGTCATGCTGGTTCTTACCCTGTCTCTCTTTCCATCTTGGTAACACTCCTGCAGATTTGAAGTCTTTAGCTGCTGACTGTAAGAGGTTCCTGGACTTCAAGCAGCATTTTGGGGAGGTTTTGGATACCTTCACAGTTAGGCAGGTTCATTAGCATGTGCTCATGGTCTCATATTTTTTACTGCCTCTCTGCAGGGCTCATTTATTCCACTAAAATCAAGCACAAGAATTCCCTCAAGGCATCCTTGTCAGATATGAAGTGACTGGGCTGCACAACACACTCTTTCCAGGTACTGCAGCAGGTACAGGTTTTTGGTGTCGTTCCTATTCCTTATCAAAGGGGAAATTGATGAATACCCACTTTTGCTGAGTTAGAATCTCCTGATGGCTAATGAACGTGAATAAAACGTTATGCAAATTAGTGACTGAGAAGGGAATTCGGAACTGAACTTGAATATGAAACAGGTCATTAGTACAACACATCTTTAACATCTGTTGATTGTTTCTAATGTTAGGTTTGTGGCAAAACTGTCTATGTTGATATTTAGTGAGAGGAGCTAAAGCTGACCCTGCACTCGTGCCTTCTGAACGTGGTGCCACACTTGGTGTTAGGAAGCAGGAGTGATTCTGGGCAAACAAACAGGTCCCCAAAGCTGGAGGAAAAACACTGTTTATGGCCTAAATTGCTATCTGATCACCTGCTCAGTATACCTCTGTATTATGTGTGCCTAGGTGGCTGTGCAGAGTGTCTCATAAAATATGAATACTTCTTCCAAATAGGATGGTGCTTAATGTGCATTTACTGTATGAACACTTATAGGTTTCTATTATTATTTATAAGTCTACAGTGTGAGAAGCTTTTCTCTAATGTTCAAGAAGTGACAGTTTCCCTCTTGCCAAGGACAGGCAGAGAAGAGGACACATGAAGAGAAAGACAAACAGCAAATACTTTGTGTAAACAAGGAAAACTAGATTTTCTCTAAGTTATACAGGCTGTCTAGGTGTTTAAAATAAATTAAAATTGGGATGGATTTGAGCTTTGTAGGCTTGGTAGTGTAAGGTACAGTTTGTGTCTTGTCCTTTTCGTACAATCCAGTTTGTCTGGGCTCCTGTGCATGGGCTTATTTAGGGCTTGGGGGGTTTTTTCCAGGTTGAAGAAGGAGTGATGAAAGTCCTCAAGTAAAACAGGAAAAACTGACTTTCTTTGAAGATAAGCTGCCCCCAAAGGGTCTCCAACACATCACAGGAGAGGAGTGTCAAGCTAATGTTGGAGGCAGTGTGTCAGTAGTCTTTAAAAATTAAAAACTAATAGTGTGACAAAAAAAAAAAACACACAAAAAAAAAACCAGTATCAAAATGAAGGAATGTTTCTTTGTGAGAAATAGGCTCTGGGATACACAGATATTCTCACATCCTTCTCCTCCCCTGGGACAGGATAGAGACCTCCCAGGAGGGCTCAGTCTCATAGGAAATGGTGATCATTACAGAGTGTTTTTAAATCTGGCTCTGCAAAGAAGAAACCTTCCAGTCTTGTGACATTCAAAGGAGAGATAGAAGGGGGGACAAAAAGAAGAAAATCTCTTTCCTACCTTCCTCCTGCTCAGTGGTTCTTGAGCTATCCATATGGAGTGGGAAAGGTGCAAGAGGAGAAAATGAGCAGTAATCTGTGAGCAAGGCAAGTGCAGGATGCAGCAGAGTGAGTTTCAAGCCATGGTATTGGTATGAGATTCAGTTTCTCATCTCTGGAGTGACCGCCAAGCTCATCCCATCTTCACGTACTCCAGATGAGGCTATTTCTCTCTGGCCAGAAATTCTGCCCTTCCAACATGAATTTCCAGCTTCCATGACCTACTTTTGACAATGCTGTCAGAAGTTTCTACACAAACTCTGCATAGGACAGCAACAGGAGCCCCCATTCAAATGAGGTCCTTCCTCAGGAGGGGGAGTGCTAAAAAGGTGGGGTTTTTTCCCCATTATTGCTTTAAATCCAGCACTTCATTTACAGCCTCTCTTTATAAAAGAAAGAAGTAGACAAACCCTCATGGCAGCAGTTGATCAAAGCTGACACAAGTGACCCACCCAAGCCATGGTCTGGAGTTTTGGTCAGCAATAGGAGAGCAAGGTACAAAGGTTACTTCTAGATGAGATGCATAACCAAGGAGAACACAGTCACAGCAGCAGTACAAGCAAAGAACAGACCATGTTCCTTTAGAAACAAAGGCACAGAAGCTTTTGCCTCCATGCAAGGTCCCCTCCCTGAAAGCAGCAGGGAGACAGGGGTACTGCCTAAAATTTCAGTGAGGAGAGAGGATATAGCACAGCACTTTCTATTGAAGGGTTCTGCCCACCCAGCCATTCTCTGTGTAGTGTCTGCACTTGCTTCTTAGGTATAAAAAGTCACTCACTGCCTGATGTAGGAGCTTTGAAACAAGAGACTGGTGTCTCATGATGTGCTAAAGCCTGCTGTCTCACAAGACAGGGATCACAAAGCTTGCCCTTTGTCAGAGCAAACCAAGGCAAAAATGGAACAATGCAAGAACTCAGAGCTTAGAGTTCTCCAAGCAGAGGACTCAGGGTGCAGAGATGCTCAGGATGCAACATCCAGCATGGTGATTTCAAAGATCTCATTCCAGATAAGAGCCACCTCCATAAACAAGGGGAAAGGAAAGGCAGTAGGAGTTTCCTGATCCAGTGTGCACTGCAACCCTCTGAACTAGAACTCCAGAGCTGGTGTAAGGAATGACAAACCACAGTGGGGTAAAGAAACCTGGAAGCCATGCAGCTTAACCTCAGCTCAGAGACTGGAGGTGCCTGAACAACAGGACATCAAGAGTCACCGGATTTACTGAATGAGGACCCACAGCCCCTACCCAGACCAATGCTTGGCTCCTGCATCCCCCATTCATTGCCTACTCATAAATGCTAAAACTCACCCAAGCATCTTCACCTCCCTTCTACAAACCACAGTGCTAGGCTACTACATTTATTATCCCATCACAATTAACCACTTCTGATTAGTTCAACTAATTACTGGGTGCTAGCAATTACTCACTGACAGGCCTCCTCAGAGTCTTTAATAGCTGTTCCCACAAGAGCAAACAGGTGAAGGCCAGAAGAGAAAAGCAAAACAACTAAACAAGGGGGAAATGAGGGAAAGAATTAAGAAATCCCTGGGCAGACCCAGGTCCTTTGAGATCCAGAGCAGCAAACAGCCCAGCTAATTAGCATGCAGTTGCATTGCCAGCATGCACAGAAATTCTCCCTCCAGCCCTTTTTCTTGCAGAAGCTCATGATTTGGGATTTGTCCACAATACAAGCACTAGACAGGATATGTTTGTACATTGTTGTTTCAATCCTGCAATGCCTCTCAAAAACACTAAATCGTGTCTGGGTAATTTTGTTTAGAGGGTGAATTTTGGATCCTAAAGCACCAAGTAGAGGCATTTTATTCACAGGTGACTGAAGACCTCTGAAAACAGGAGGATTAGGGGAGAATGGAAAATATGACAAAAGGGTAGCCTTTACTGATTTGGAACACACTTCTTTTATGGAAAACAGAGGAAAAAATCCTTAGGAGGATGCTCTAGATGTTGTAATAGCAACTGTATGTTTTCTGTTTCAGACCCTGACAACAGAACTTAACAGAGAATAAGTTGTTAATGACACTCATAGATGCAATCTTTATATGTATTAAATTCTACAGTGTGCAGGAAAAAAAAACATGGCTTTTTACCTGATGCTTAGAGAATACTCTTGCTCCTGTTGTCATTGAATTTTATGGGGTTTCCATGAACAGGAGAGTATCCAAATAGTGTCTTTGTTTCCAGGTGCTGCATGCTTCACCCCCATGGCTGCAGCACCTGGAAGGTGTCTGCTTCCAGACATCCTACTCCAAACCCTTCTGAATTTAATAATACTGACCTGACAAGCTTTAAGGGAAGATTTCAACAAGTCCATAAAGCATTTGTGTTGACTTCCAGGTCGCTTTTTAACCAGAAGCCAGTCAGACACAGACAACATGATCACAGATCCTGAAGTACCTCAGCATCCCAGAGACAGTCTCCAAGCACAGCTGAGACCTTATCAGGAGGACTGTAATCCTGGGGAAGCTGCTACAGAAGAGACATTAAGCAGCCTGACAACAATAAGCCTGGTTCAGTGCCTTATCCCTCCCTTGCTCAAAATGTGATTTTCCAAAATAATGAATTATTGTTTTCCAAGTAAGTTTTGCACTGGAACCACTCACTATTTCCCAAATTGTCCCTTCAGTCTGGAAAGACTGCAGTGAACACAAGGGAATGTATCCAACACTTCAAGCCTTGCTGTGCCACAGGTGATGATGGGGGGACTGGGCATGCTTGTGTGGAGACTGCTGGAAAACATGATTCCCACAGTGGAAAAGTTTCCTGAGCACACCACCTTGTCCCTTGGGTATCTGTGAGGGGTGGGGTGAATGTCCCTCAAAGCCCACAGATCCATACAGCATCACCTGCAGACCACAGATGAAATATTATCCCACATGTGCATGAAGTCATTACCCAAGTGCATTCCCAGCTTGAGCAGGAGAGGACGATGAGCATGGTCAGGAGACCTCTCCCACCCTGACAAACAGCAGCATGCACATCCTTTCCCTTTCCAAAGAAGAGCAAGGCAGGGAAGAAGGAGAGGACGCAGCTAAAGTTAAAATGTGCCATGAAACTTCTTTCTACAACAAACCGATTAACATCTGACTCTGCTATAGAACTCGAACAATGCTAAAGGCCATGAAACGCTGTCTTAAAAGGCAATAAAAAACAATGGTCACACAAAGAGCCCTCACTGAGGCAGGAAGGGCCCCCAGACAGCCCCTGCCCAGCCTCTGCCCAGCCATCGACTGCTTTCATGCTCATGGCAAAAAGGTGCAGGAAAGACGTTTTGTTTCAAAGTGAAATCTTCCTGAATGAAGTGGGCATTGCAGAAAGGCAGGGCATGCAATGGCATCCCCTTGTACAGGAATTTCAAGAGCCCTTTGCTCAGAAGCCCACCCCCAGGTTCTGCTCTCTGCCCTCAAGGCACTCTGCTCTCAGCTCAGCCAGGGAGTCCCTCCTGTTTGCTTGTGTGGAGGTGGGATGCACATGAGCACTTGTGCAGCTGGCCACACAGCCACCTCCTGAGCTCAGCCAAGCTCCTGTAGCTCTAGTTCTGCTGCGTTTCTGCAGCTACATTCAAGATATTCTATTCTTCTCTGGTTCTGGGTGAGCTTTTCAGACCTCAGGAGATTATCCTGTGAACTGCATAAGAAAAGGCTGTTTTAACTCATGCTTTTGCTAATATGTTCAGTGCTGTAAATCAGCTGAAGTTCAAGCAGCCATGAATATCTGTAAGGTTAGATTTGATACTTCTAGTCAGCAATAATTTTTCCTGCAGACACACATGCACATAACACTGGGGTTTTTTTTCCTTAGAAGTCTTCATACATTTTCTTCACCTCTTTGTTCTTTTGTGCTTGCTTTCTACAATTGAAGCAGACAGAACATCTCCCAGGAAGGCTTTTGGAGATCTCATGAATTATATCTTCTAGGGTTGATTCCTTCATGGATCCTGCAGGCACCTCTGGCAGCAGAGGCAGAACTGCAAGTGGCCTCCAACATTTGGGGACCCAAAGGGAAAGCAACGGGAGCTGATGCACTGTCACCTCAGGGTCCTGGCAGACAACAAATTGTCCATGAGCCAGCAGTGCCCATGAGGGCAAGGCCAGTGGAATCCTGCTAAGCCTTAGAAAAAGCACTGCCAGCAGGTCAGGAAGGTGATCCTGCTCCTCTGCTCAAGATGAGGCACATCTGGAGATACACATATCAGTACAGGAGAGATATGGAGCTCCTGGAGTAACTTCAGCAGAGAGCCACTAACTTGGTCAAGGCTCTGGAGAACTCCTCTCTTACGATGAAAGGCTGAGGGAGCTGTTCAGGCTCAAGAGGCAACTGAGAAGACCTCATCAATGTGTACAAATATCTAAAGGGTGGGTGCCAAGAAGATGGATCAGGCTTTTCTTGGTGGTGCCAGCAATAGGAAAAGAGCCAACAGGCAGAAACTGATACTGAGGAAGCTCCACCTGAACATAAGGAAGAACTTCTTTACTAGACAGTGACCAAGCACTAGAACAGATGGACCAGAGAGAATGTGGAGGCTTCCTCCCTGGAGATATTCCAGAGCCATCTGGACACAATCCTATGCCCTGTGCTTTGGGATGACCCTGCTTGAGCTGGGACACTGGACCAGATGATCCCCTGTGGTCCTTCCAATCTGACCTATTCTGTGATTCTGTGGTCTTGCTCACTCACCAAAGTGACAGGTTTTGGTGTCCCAGGCTCACAGATGATTGACTATTGGATTTGACGATCCTAAAGATCTTTTCCAACCTTAATGATCCTGATTTTATGAGCAGGGCTGGCATCCAGGAGCAGTGGTCCATGATCTAGAAAAGGTGGGTGCAGGAATTTCCAGAGAGGCTACTGTCAGAAAATCAACATCAGGAAGGAGCCTCTAGGAAGGGGAAATGTCAGACCAAGCTTGTCAGTGAGCAGGGAATGGCTGACTAAGACAAGATTCCTGCCATGAATTACAGGGGTTTTATTTTTTACCTGCAAGAAGAAAAGGGTCTCTCACCTGCACAAGGAGGCACCTCCTACAAAGCATCCTCCACACTCCACCAAGCAGCAAAACAGTGTCCAGGTGTGACCAGCCTTGGCAGGGACCCCAGAAACAACCAGC